GGGGGGAGTGGAGGGGGGGGAGGGGATGTGGATACCTCCCTTGCACAACAGATCTCAAAGGACGCTTGAGGGAGGCTCTCACAATGTCATATTGAGGCACAGCGTTTGATGTCATGATGCGAGATGATGAAGTCCAGCCAAGAGGATTATGGTGAAGAGGAGCAGGAGGTGGAGGAGGTGGAGGAGGTGGAGGGGGTGGAGGAGGAGGATGAAGAGGAGGGAGGAGGGATGGAGGAGGAGGAGGGGGAGGGGGTGGAGGAAGAGGAAAGGGAGGAAGAAGAGGAGGGAGGAGGTATGGAGGTGGAGGAGGTGGAGGGGGTGGAGGGGGTGGAGGGGGTGAAGAGAAGGAAGAGGAGGAAGAAGAGGAGGGAAAAGGGGTGGAGGAGGAGGAGGAGGAGGAGGAGGAAGAGGATTATGGTGAAGAGGAGCAGGAGGTGGAGGAGGAGGAGGAGGTGGAGGGGATGGAGAAGGAGGTGGAGGAGGGGTAGGGGGTGGAGGAGGAGGAGGAGGAGGTAGAGGGGGTGGAGGGGGTGGAGGAAGAGCAGGAGGAGGTGGAGGAGGAAGAGGAGGAAGAGGAGGTAGGAGGGATGGAGGAGGTGGAGGAGGAAGAAGAGGAGGGAGAAGGGGTGGAGGAGGAGGAGGAGGAGGAAAAGGATTATGGTGAAAAGGAGCAGGAGGTGGAGGTGGAGGAGGAGGAAGAGGAGGGAGGAGGGATAGAGGAGGCGGACGAGGTGGAGGGGGTGGAGGGGGTGGAGGAGGTGGAGGAGGAGGAGGAGGAAGAGGAGGGGGAGAAGGAGGTGGAGGGGGTGGAGGAGGAAGAAGAGGAGGGACGAGGGATGGAGGAGGAGGAGGAGGAGGAGGAGGAGGAGGAGGAGGAGGAGGAGGAGGAGAAGAAGGAGGTGGAGGAGGAGGTGGAGGGGGTGGAGGAGGTGGAGGTGGAGGGGGTGGAGGAGGTGGAGGAGGAGGAGGAGAAGGAGGAGGAGGAGGGAGAAGGAGGAAGATGAAAAGGGGGAAGGGACGGAGTAGGAGGAAAGAGAAGGAGAAAGGATGGGGGAGGAGGAAGAAGAGGAAGAGGAAGAGGAAGAGGAAGAAGAAGAGGAAGGGGAGGAAGAAGGGGAAGAGGAAAAACAGAAGGAGAAGGACAGGAGAAAAGGTAAAGGAAAAGAGAGAAAGAGAAGGGTGGAGGAGAAGGGAAGGAGAGGTAGGAGAGGGCTGAGGGAGGGAGAGGAGGGAGAGGGAGGGAGGGAAGGGTGAGGGAGGGAGAGGAGGGTGAGGGATGGAGAGGAGGGAGAGGGAGGGAGGGAAGGGTGAGGGAGGGAGAGGAGGAAAGGAAGCTGAGTGAGGGAGAGGGGGCTGAGGGAGGGAGGGAAGGGTGAGGGAGGGAGGGAAGGCTGAGGGAGGGAGAGGAGGGTGAGGGAGGGAGAGGAGGGTGAGGGAGGGAGAGGAGGGTGAGGGAGGGAGAGGAGGGAGAGGGAGGGAGGGAAGGGTGAGGGAGGGAGGGAAGGGTGAGGGAGGGAGAGGAGGGAAAGGAAGCTGAGTGAGGGAGAGGGGGCTGAGGGAGGGAGGGAAGGGTGAGGGAGGGAGGGAAGGGTGAGGGAGGGAGAGGAGGGTGAGGAGGGAGAGGAGGGTGAGGGAGGGAGAGGAGGGTGAGGGAGGGAGAGGAGGGTGAGGGAGGGAGAGGAGGGTGAGGAAGGGAGAAGAGGGTGAAGGAGGGAGAGGAGGGAGAGGGAGGGAGGGAAGGGTGAGGGAGGGAGAGGAGGGTGAGGAGGGAGAGGAGGGTGAGGGAGGGAGAGGAGGGTGAGGGAGGCTGAGGGAGGGAGAGGAGGGAGAGGGAGGGAGAGGAGGGTGAGGGAGGGAGAGGAGGGTGAGGGAGGGAGAGGAGTGTGAGGGAGGGAGAGGAGGGTGAGGGAGGGAGAGGAGGGAGAGGGAGGGAGAGGAGGGTGAGGGAGGGAGAGGAGGGAGAGGGAGGGAGAGGAGGGTGAGGGAGGGAGAGGAGGGTGAGGGAGGGAGGGAAGGCTGAGGGAGGGAGAGGAGGGAGAGGAGGGTGAGGGAGGGAGAGGAGGGAGAGGGAGGGAGAGGAGGGTGAGGGAGGGAGAGGAGGGTGAGGGAGGAGAGGAGGGAGAGGAGGGAGAGGAGGCGCGGGAGGAGAGGTGGGTGTAGGGAGGGAGAGGAGATGAGGGAGCTGAGGGAGGGAGAGGAGGGAAGAGGGAGGGAGAGGAGGGTGAGGGAGGGAGAGGAGACTGAGGGAGGCTGAGGGAGGGAGAGGAGGGAGAGGGAGGGAGAGGAGGGGAGAGGGAGGGAGAGGAGGGTGAGGGAGGGAGAGGAGGGTGAGGGAGGGAGGGAAGGCTGAGGGAGGGAGAGGAGGCTGAGGGAGGGAGGGAAGGGTGAGGGAGGGAGAGGAGGGAGAGGGAGGGAGAGGAGGCTGAGGGAGGGAGGGAAGGCTGAGGGAGGAGAGGAGGGTAGGGAGGGAAGGGTGAGGGAGGGAGGGAAGGGTGAGGAGGGAGAGGAGGTGAGGGAGGGAGAGAGGGTGAGGGAGGGAGAGGAGGGTGAGGGAGGAGAGGAGGGTGAGGGTGGGGGAGAGGAGGGGGAGGAAGGGAGGAAAGAGGGTGAAGAGGCGAGAGGAGGGAGGAGGGAGGGAAGGGAAAGGGTGAGGGAGGGAGAGGAGGGGAGGGAGGGAGAGGAGGGTGAGGGAGGGAGAGGAGGGTGAGGAGGCTGAGGAGGGAGAGGAGAGCTCACCCTAGAGGGAGGGATGAGGAGGTTGAGGGAGGGAGAGGGGGGGGAGGGTGAGAGGAGAGGAGTGTGAGGGGAGGGAGAGGAGGTGTGAGGGAGGGAGAGGAGGGAAGAGGGAGGGAGAGGAGAGTGAGGAGGGAGAGGAAGGGAGAGGGAGGGAGAGGAGGGAGAGGGAGGGAGAGGAGGGTGAGGGAGGGAGAGGAGGGTGAGGAGGAGAGGAGGGTGAGGGAGGGAGAGGAGGGGAGGGAGGGAGAGGAGGGTGAGGGAGGGAGAGGAGGGAGGGAGGGAGAGGAGGGGAGGGAGAGAGGAGGGAGAGGGAGGGAGGGAGGGAGAGGGAGGGAGAGGAGGGTGAGGGAGGGAGAGGAGGGAGAGGGAGGGAGAGGAGGGTGAGGGAGGGAGAGGAGGGTGAGGGAGGGAGAGGAGGGTGAGGGAGGGAGAGGAAGGGAGAGGGAGGGAGAGGAGGGTGAGGGAGGGAGAGGAGGCTGAGGGAGGGAGAGGAGGGAGAGGAGGGAAGAGGAGGGAGAGGAGGGTGAGGGAGGGAGAGGAGGACTGAGGAGGCTGAGGGAGGGAGAGGAGGGAGAGGGAGGGAGAGGAGGGAGAGGGAGGGAGAGGAGGGTGAGGGAGGGAGAGGAGGGTGAGGGAGGGAGGGAAGGCTGAGGGAGGGAGAGGAGGCTGAGGGAGGGAGGGAAGGGTGAGGGAGGGAGAGGAGGGAGAGGGAGGGAGAGGAGGCTGAGGGAGGGAGGGAAGGCTGAGGGAGGGAGAGGAGGCTGAGGGAGGGAGAGGAGGGTGAGGGAGGGAGAGGAGGGTGAGGGAGGGAGGGAAGGCTGAGGGAGGGAGAGGAGGCTGAGGGAGGGAGAGGAGGCTGAGGGAGGGAGGGAAGGGTGAGGGAGGGAGAGGAGGGAGAGGGAGGGAGAGGAGGGTGAGGGAGGGAAAGGAGGGTGAGGGAGGGAAAGGAGGCTGAGGGAGGGAGAGGAGGGAGAGGGAGGGAAAGGAGGCTGAGGGAGGGAGAGGAGGGTGAGGGAGGGAAAGGAGGCTGAGGGAGGGAGAGGAGGGAGAGGGAGGGAGGGAAGGGTGAGGGAGGGAGAGGAGGGTGAGTGAGGGAGAGGGGGCTGAGGGAGGGAGAGGAGGGTGAGGGAGGGAAGCAAGGGTGAGGGAGGGAGAGGAGGGTGAAGGAGGGAGAGGAGGGTGAGGGAGGGAAGCAAGGGTGAGGGAGGGAGAGGAGGGTGAGGGAGGGAGAGGAGGGAGAGGGAGGGAGAGGAGGGTGAGGGAGGGAAGGAAGGGTGAGGGAGGGAGAGGAGGGAGAGGAGACTGAGGGAGGGTGAGGGAGGGAGAGGAGGGTGAGGGAGGGAGAGGAGACTGAGGGAGGGAGAGGAGGGTGAGGGAGGGAGGGAAGGGTGAGGGAGGGAGAGGAGGCTGAGGGAGGGAGAGGAGGCTGAGGGAGGGAGAGGAGGGTGAGGGAGGGAGGGAAGGGTGAGGGAGGGAGAGGAGGCTGAGGGAGGGAGGGAAGGGTGAGGGAGGGAGAGGAGGCTGAGGGAGGGAGAGGAGGCTGAGGGAGGGAGGGAAGGGTGAGGGGGGGGGGCAGGCATACTCGGGATGTGTTGTTCATCGTCACAAATACATACGTACGTGCGAACAAGTTGCTTGAATATTTTGAACATTCAGAATACAAAAATATAAACGATGCATGAGGTTTCAGACAAAAATATTTTGGAAATTCAGAGTTTTTTTGTCGAGCGCACGTTGGGTAAAGGAACATTATATTTTCATTATTATTGTTGTTATTGTTGTTCATACCGTCGCTGTTTTGATGTTTTGTGTTATCATCACCGTTATTATCATTATATTATTATTATTATCATTATCGTTACTATCATCATCGCCATCATTATTATCATCACTATTATCATTATAGTTATTATTTTTATCATTGTTATTGATATTATTGTTATTGATATTATTATTATTATTATTATTATTACTATTATCATTATTACTTTCATAATCATCATTAACATAATTATTGTTATTATTATCATCATCACCATCATCATGATTATTATCATCATTATCATGATTATTATTTTCCATTATTATCGTCAATTTGATTACCATTATCATTATTTTCGTTTATTATCGTTAACATCATCATCACTTTAATGGTTTAAATATTACTAATATAATATAAATAATGGTAATTGTGATAGTAATTATAATCCTTATCAATATAATGAATATCAGTATTACCATCACTTTCATAATCATTATTAGTAAGATCATCATCGGCATCATTATTGCTACTGTTGTAATTATCTTGATAATACTATGATTGGAATGATGAATGAGAAGGAAAACAATACAGTTATTAGCCCGACTGTCATTAATGAT